AGGAGTCCCTCCCCGCCAGGGAGAGCACCCGAGGGAGGGGCCGGAGCAGGAGCCCCCCTCGTGAGTCACGCCCCGGCTGGAGGGGCTCCTCTCCCAGCGGGTCCCGGGAGAGGGCCTGGCGCAGTCCCGTCTCCTCCCGCGGACCTTCCAGCCTCGCCCCCCATCGGCGCCACTCGCCCCTTTCGCGCTCCTCTTCCTCTTCCTCCAGGCGCAGTAGCAGCAGCCGGGGAAGGGAGGGAGGGAGAAGCGGCTGGGAGAGGAGGGGAAGCCGGGCCTCTCGCAAGGGGCGGGCCAGGGAGGCGATGCACCCAAAGAGCCACCGGTGGAAGAGCCCCCAGGAGGTGAAGCGAAGGCGGTATCCCAGTTCCCCGGGCCAAAAACCCCTCCCTGCAAGCCACATGGAGAGATCCAGCAGCAGCACCAGCAGCTTCAGGAGCAGGGGACCTCCAGGGGGGGAGGCAAGGCAGGATCGGGGCCAAGAGCGGAACTTCCGGGAGAAGGACCGGCACTCGAGGAAGAGGGTCAGAAGTGCAGAGAGGCGGAGGGCTTCCAAGGGAAGTCAAGGAGGCTTCCCCATCTTTCCTGGAGAGGAAGGGGGTTGGCGCAGCCCCAGCAGAGAAAGGGGGAAAGGGGGTTCCACCAGAAACCAGAGGTCCCCGGGAGGCCCTGTGTCTAAAAGGGGCTGGGGGGATTCTCCAAGCTCCAGTCCTCAAAGCCAGCTGGGTTGGGACCAGGGAGGAAGCTGTAAGGGAAGCATGTGTAAGGCCTGGACTGGAAGTGAAGGCCTTGAAATGCCTCAGAGCTCCAACGAAGACCTAGAAGACTCGGAGGGTTCCACTGGTTTCCTAGAGGAATGGGGGCTCCTGGAAGGGCAGGTGGTTACCGAGAGCCTCCAGGAAGGTGGCCCTCCAAGCCGTCCCAAGATATATATGGAGCCTGAAAAGCATGCCGCTGCCCCAGTAACATGGGTGCCGCGGGAGGCAGTGGTGGACTTCTGGAATCAATGTCAGTCTGTGATGAAGAAGAGGGTGCAGGATTACCTCATGTTCACCTGCCCTAGGCCCACCTTGCCGGACCAGTCTTGTGAGATCCCGAAACTGAACCCGAGCGTCAGGGCCTTGCTAACTCCGAAAGAGGTGAAGGTGGAGTCAGCTGCATCCTATTACTTGCGTTCACTCCACGAGGAGGTGCTGAACGCTGTGGCGCCCGTCATGACCATCTATGAGATGGCGGAGGAAGCCATAGAGAAGAAAGAGGCAGTGGATCCGCTGGAGCTGCGCGAGTGGTCCCGGCGCATCCTCCGCTACATGGGGAGTATCAGCCAGAGGCTGCTGCAGCAGCGATGCTCGCACGTCCTGGGGAGAATCAACCCCACGCTGAAGAGCATGACCACCAAAATGAGCGGTTCAAGTGGGACCGGCTTGTTGTTTGCAGAGGACAAAGTGGAATTTCTGAAGGAGATCATCTTGCGCTTCCCAGAGTTGGATGGTGAGCCCAGGACCACCAGCATGAGAAACGATTACGCAGCCCGCAGGCGTAAAGTTGCGGATCGAAGACCAGACTTTGTGAAGTTTGGCGCTCACCCTTGGGTTAGTGGTGCTCAGCAGGAGCGGATCTCAGGTGAGGCTGTTGCTAAGCCCCAGAGATTTCTCTCCACCAGGTCTTGGAGAGTTTGAATGACCCTGGTCTTTTTGTGTGAACAATTCGTTACTCAGAAAGTCTCATGATTTTGGAACAGTACTTTTCATTTTAAGCATAGATACCTTGACTAGTAGCCACTGGCAGTTTGTTTTTTTAGGGGGGTGACATACGCCTTCCCCCTTCTTTTGTTTTCTTTTGCTTTTAAAGCACTGGATAGCTCTGGCAGAACCTGGGCAGAACTCCAGGTTCTGCCCAGAACTCTGGCAGAACCTGGCTACATCTTTGGGAGCATGGGTCATGATAGCAGACAGCAAACCTTTCTTAGTGGCACAGTCCTTACTACCGTCTTATTTTCAGCTTTTTATAAATATGCAGAAATGCTGTGAGCTTTAAGCAGAGGGTGAACTTTGAACAGAAGAAAAACTTCTGGGAAACTTCCAAAGCTCACTTCTGCTAATTGTTTTCAATTGTCTACTAGGTTGACGGTGACGGTAAGAGCTTTTCAAGTCCATGGGTTTATTGTAAAAGATGAACCAGAGAAAGAAGCAGAAACAAAAGCTGGAAGTATTGGGCAAAAGAATGATTTTATAGCAAAGCTAGGGATCAGTGGAAACTTTCAAAACCAGAAAATTGTAGATGGAAAGGAATCTGAAAAAGAGATGTTAAATGCCCTAGAAAAATTCTATGACTTTACTAGTTTTAAGGCACAAGCTGAAAGGATCAGGAAAGTGGAGTTTTGATGGGGCACTGAGTTGCTTGAGTGAGAAATCAACAGAACGAATGAATGACCCTGAGAACTGCAGCTGCAGATTCAAGTACCAGGTGAATGGGAAGGGCATTAAGGAAGTCCCTCCCAGGAGCCAATCAAGTTCATGCTGGACTTGGGGTAGGGAGGCCCATGTAGCCAGGGAACGTCGATCCCCCAGAGACTTCTCAGTTTAGTGAAACGAGGAAGCTTCTGAACACTGCCTCTGTGAGAGAAAGGAAAGGCCAGCAAGAATGTTGAACGACAAGCACACATGTCTTGCAATTTTTAAACAAAAAACAGCCGAGGGAAAGTAGTAAAGAAAAACAATGAAGTAGGCGTTCAGCTCTTGAATCTAACGGTGTCTCCCAACTAACTTCTTTCAGCCCACCAATCGAATGCAGCAGAAGCCCCGAGAGAGGAAGTCGTCAGCCTGGCACTCTGGCACCGCCGCTTTGCTCACCGAGATTCCGAGACAATCCTCAAGCTGCACAGGCGCCGGCTTGCGACGTGCCTTGAGGTAAAGGAAAGCGATGCAAGCAGCGCAGCCGGGTGCGCTGTCTGTCTCAAAGTAAAAGGGCCCAGGCCCTCCTCTCCACCCGGGACCAAGAGAAGGAGCAGCGAGGTGCTGGAGTTAATCCACACGGACGTGCATGGGCCAATGAGTGTGCCGTCCCTCGGGAACAACAGATACATCTTAATATTTGTGGATGATTTTTCGAGATACCGTTTCATCTTCCTCCTGAGGAAGAAGACGGAGATACATTACCTGCTCAAGAAGTATGTATCCATTGTGAGGAATAAATTTAACAGGAAACCGAAGGCGTTTCAGATAGACAATAAGGACGAATACTTCTGGCCCCATATAAAGGCCGTCCTGGAGGAAGAAGGCATTTTGTGCGAGGAGGGTGTGGCAGACGCTCCTGAGCAGAGCAGAATGGCCAGGTGGGGCCTGAGATCCCTCTTGGAGATGACCAAATGCATGCTTGCCGATGCAGAGCTGCCCAACAAATTTTGGGGCGATGCCATCATGACCGCGGTACACCTCCTGAACATATTGCCCACTGAAGATGCCAAGGAAACCCCCTTTGAACTGTGGAATGGCTGTGTGCCCAATTTAAATCGCATTCGAGTCTTCGGGAGCCTGGCTCATGCCTACGTACCATTATTGGAAAGGTCCCACCTGGACCCTAAAAGGGAAGAGACAATTTTGCTGGGGTTTACCTCTCGCCTGAATTGTTACAAAGTAATGAACTTAAGAACCGGGGAAGTCAGCACAAGAACGGTCGATTTTATTGACGAGGAGAAGAAAGTTGACAAGAAGGGGACTGTCTTGGAGGCCTCCGGAGAGGAGGAACACGATATAGATTGTCTCTTTCCTCCAGCTGACAAAGCTGGAAAATTGGCCTGTGTTGTGCCCGTGGAAGACTCAGACTTTCTGGAATTGCGAGGGGGGATTTCCCCTCCCAAATGAACATGACTGGCCTCCGCTCTTGCCCCCAACAACAGACAAGTAGTCCCAGAGTGGCTTCTGGGGAGGCCTTTTATCCAAGGGCAGCCAGGGGGAGATCCTTTATGGAGTTCTTATCAAAAGGTTCTTGGCCTTGCAAGCACCGTGCATGTTGTTCTTTCGGTTACTGGGGTGCTCCTGTCTGACCAGTGTCATTTTTGTATATTGGAGAAGCCGGAGGAGAACCTGTTGGAAACAACAAAGACATCTTATTTTGGGGGTGGTGTTGTTGTTCCATCGTCCACCTCATTTTCTCCCCGAGACAACGTCTCCTGCCTCCAGGGACCTTTTGATCTCCAACGATGGCTCTTTGGGCAAGGATGGTCTACCCATTTCCTCCCGACACCCATGAGCCGGTGGCTTAAGGAGGCCCGCGAAGTGCTGTCGTTTAAAGGACATTTGGCAGGACGGGAAGCCCAGCGTATTTGTGAACCGACCTCCTTTCTCCGTCCCCTTCGGCTCTCCCTGCTCACCACTTCATCTTTTGTTTCGTAGCGGCCGTTCAATAAAGGTTGTTTAGGTGTTATTATCTTTCTGTCTGGTTGAACACGTGTTCCTTGGCCGGACCCACCTGGACGTTACCCCCTCCCTCCACATTCTGAGGGTCTGGAGACCATCTCATGTGGGGTCTTCCTCATCTCCTGGTGCTTTCCACGTTTCCTGGTACTTCAGTTTCATGGTGCAGCGTTTTTCAATGTCTGCACCTCTTGGCAGGGGAGGAGATAAAATTCTTCCTGTTAAGGAAAGAAAGCACACGGATCCTTGGAAGGGAAGGCTGGTGGATGCTCCCCCAGTGATGGAGAAGGAGGCAGCCTTTGGCCCTTCCCCTACACCCGGAACGTCCTCTTCTGTACATAGTCAGTGGGGAGGAAATGGAAAGTCGGGAAACAACTGGTAGATGAGGCTGGAAAATGAGCAAGTCTGAACCCTGTCTGGGACAGTGTGGATTTTCTGGGACTAAGTGTGAGGAGTTCCCACACACACACACAGTTTGGGGCTGGACAGCTTTTGGTACCCATTTTTACAATAGGACCATAGGGGCTATGCGGGATTGGTTCCAAGCCCCCTTGCCCCACAGATGCAAAAAAAAAACCCCAAGGAATTATTGCATGCTACACATGTTTTCTGGCTTCCTCTGTTGAATCCTGGTAAATACACCCTGGGCATACGTACATACAAATATGTATTTCTGTGCGGTTGTTTTATGTAGAATGTTCCGGGAGTGGATAAGTGAATCAGTGGATACCAATCCAGCTGATAGGAATTAAGCCCCAGTGGATATGGAAAATCATGGATAATCGCGAATGCAAAAAGTGGATGAAAGCAAATGGCTCAAGAGACCATGTTATCTTTTTAAATTATTAACAAGTATTCCTAGCACTGTCTCTAGTGGCTGGTTCTGTTACTACATGGGAAAATTTTCTGGATTTTTCCCGTGTAATATATTCAGACCGTGGATAAGGTCGTCCACGGATAACAGGGTCTTTCTGTAAAGGAAGCCGTGGATTTTAAAGGGAACGTTCAAGGTAATGCACCAATTGGCAAGGCGTTTAAAAAGCCCTTGCGGGGTGGACAACCCAAAAGGGCGTCCACCCCGATTTGTCATTAACGAGGCCACTTAAATAGCAGGGGGGGTAGCGCGTGTTAATGAGCAAACGGCTCCACCGTGCTTCCGCTTTTCGGCCGTTAGGCGGCGCTGCCTTGCCGCGGGACGTCGGCCCTCCCTTTTATGCGCATGCGCCGCTTTTTCTTCGGTGCGGCTGTCTTAACGGACGAGAGGGCGCGGTTGGAGGGACAGTTGCGGCGCGCAGGCGCCTTACTCTCCTTCTCCTTCCCTGTCGAGCGCACTGCGCGTGCGTCGCAGGCAGAGAGGGTAGCGGGGGAGGGCCCGCCGAGTCGTCTTCAAAGATATAAAAAAAAATAGGCCGAGGCAGGACGCGGTGCGCGTGCGCCGGGAGGCGTTGGCCGTGGCCCCGCCTTGTCCTTTGTCTTTCCACGCCCCCTTTCTGGTCCCCTCC